TGGTGTGGATACCCCACTGGACAATCTTCCCATAAGAACCACACCCCCAAATTGAATTTGTACCGCACCCAAACATCATAGAGGCTGAATCATACTAGATTTGAGGGTTTTGGTTCGATACTGAATGTTATGCATTAACCCTGGGTTTTAAGGGCTTCATCATGACATCTTTACTTTTAATCATACCCATGTTAAGCCAAACATATGATCGATTAGCTACTGTATATTGTTGTTTGTTTCACGTTTCAGTTTGACATGTCAAATGGTTGATGAGGTAAAAATCTGGATAATATATATTTCTAGGCAAAACAACTCATGTACTCCTCTTGTGGCTATCCTTTATCCATAACGGCTTGGAGCAGGTCCCGCCATGGCACGGTGATGGGAACGCTTCGTGGTCGCGCCTGAATCGCCAGGTCGATAAAATGAGGAGAGAATCATGGGGAAATCACAAAATCATGAGATAACTGGACTATAATGATATATAATTTAAAAACAACTAGTTAGGATCAATGATCTGAAAGTGGTTTGTGAATCACTAACATCTATCTATCTATATATATATATATATACCCTCCGATAATTTGTTGCAGTTTGCTATGCTAAGCCTTTAGCCATGGCCCATACAAACCAATAACAAAAAATGTGCAACATGATGATTTACCGATTTACAGCTCTTGAACACTGTGAGTTTATGTTATTTTCATTTATTTTCCAGTTTGCACACCGTTAAATAACCTGAGGGTCCCTTGTGTTGTAACCCACTTGCTGATCATTTGCCAGGAGCATGTTTTCTTTTTGGTCATTGGGTACTGCACCACATTAGCTGGATGCTTTCATGGAAAATCCCTGACACAAATGGATGATAACTAGGGGTATATAACCCCATTTTAGGAGACCCCCTATATGATCCCATGTGTCACCTTGTTTTTCTATGTTTTTGCTTTGGGGGGAAGAATATCAAGTTCCAGTAGCACGAGAAACACAGGAAAGGCTGCTTGGACCTGCCTGATTTTCAGCTTGCCGACAGCCTAAAAGCGATCAGTATCATAGTTGTTCAATTACCATCCAGTTATCAAACATGGCCTGCTGGGAATTCCCTTTCTAAAAACAGATCATTGTCCATTAAACCTCCATCTAGGGATTTCCCATTGCTACATTGGAAAAAAAAATACCAGATGGTACTTGATGTGGGTGGGCAGTATATTCCTTTCCACTTAAGCCAGCCAGAATCGAATATCATTCAAACGATTTCCCCTATGGCTTTCATTCCCAATTCAATGTGCTGCCACCCATGTTGATAAGTTGCTTATCAAGACATCCAACTTGATAAGTGTGCCCTCTGTAAACCCTAGCCACGCTACACACACATATTTACATATATACACATACATACAGTATGTATATATATATATATATATATATATTTATCAACCTGTCATAAATCCAATCTTCTCAACCATGTATCATAAATCAGCTATTCTAAACTATAATATATATATATATATATATTCACACCATATGTGTGTTGGTTGAATCCCACTTATATATATATATCCCATGAAATCCAATGTTGGTATCTTTGTCCCATAAAACATCCCTATATAATAATCACCAATAAGCCAGATATTATAATCCCTATCTAATATATCATAATTATTATCACCAATAAGCCAGGTAGGTAATAGGGAAATATAGGTTGGTAAATAATCCTTATAGGTGATAATCCTTAATGGAGATTGTTGTAGAACATTATCACCAACATATATCAGATATGTATTATCATACGGTATGTTGGTGAAATTCTGTCGTTTCATCCCGGCCCTGATCCGAAACAAAAACCAAGCCGCAGCTTTCGCCAGCTCGCGACGCTGCCGGGCCGCAAGCACCTGCATACGTGTCACGTGCCACAGTGATCTATCCACGGATTATAGGACATAGTTTCTGGAATACTGTATATATGGTTTTGAAGTGGGGGTTAATTGGGGTTTAAAGGTATTCAATGGAATTTCGATAAGATTTACAGAGATTTAATAAGCCGAGGAGGACATCTGGGAGCCATGAGAAACACCAACCTCGGTGACATCTTAGAAGAACTGCTAAGACCAAGAACGCGTCAATCCGTTTTGGGAGCCCTATGCCCAGAACCCCAATAAATGGCAATCTTCATGAAGAATATCGCAGACCACCGAGTTGTTGAGGTTTTTTTGGGGCAAAACACGTTCGAGCCTCACATTTGGATTTAACTAACCACAAACCATAATTTCTCCAATGCTAGCTATATAGTGGATACAGCACATAAATATTTTGTAACCGGCGGGGCAAACATTGCAGCAAATTGCAATCTTTATGGTGAAACATGAGGTGTTACTGCATTCTTTTGTGAACGCAGTTATATAGGGAACAGATTTGCGACAAACTTTCCCGACAACGATTCGTTGCACCTCCAAATGCTGACAGCGAGCCAACAGGCCCTCGATTAATGCGTCCTAGGGGCGCGGGCGACTGGGCTCCCAAATGAACTTCAGACCGTTTGTTTGATTCATTCACTATTTGTTTCCCCAGGATGATGGGATAGACGCGACATGACGCGACCGTTGTGGAGACCCAAATCGATACCATCCCTCTCCAACACAGCAAAATGCTGGCAAACCATCTCAAAAATTGGATTCCAAATTCGCGGGTCATTCTTGCACCATTCCTCTCACAGTGCCAGAGTACCATGTTTCTTTTTCCAATGTCAGCATGTTTTCAAAACTTCACAAACAAAAATGAAAGGGGTTTTGACCCCGGTCCTTTTGGCAAACGATCGTCAACATTTTGCTGTACATCCCAGATTTGAGAAAGTTCATCGGTAACCCAGACTCACCCATCGCTTCCAGAGTGATAGACATTTCTCGGGGACGGCGGGAGGTCCCATAGCCGAGTGGGCTCTGCCAGCTGAGGATGAGAACGCCTTGCTTCTTCAAAGTCATACCTTCATCCCCGTGGATGTACAGTGGCAAGCACTGGTTTGCTTGTTTTTCCCTTCATCAATCTCGGCCTGGCCATGGGCAAATGGGCAGAACTGCCCCTTGCCGCACAAGCCAGCAGCGTCGAACATGCACACCACCTGTTTTATCCGCACCTGCAACAGTGAGAATGATGATGATAATGATGAGAATGAGGATGATCGAAGAAAGTTTAGAAGCCAAACTTCCGACAATATGGACAGATGAAAAGCAGAGCAGAGCAGGGAAGAGGCAGAGAGAAGAGAAACATTGTCCCACGCCTGCCACGCAAAAGCAGCGGAGCCCTGCCACGCAAAAGCAGCGGAGCCCAAGGGACACCAGAGGGACGCCAGAGGGACGCCAGGGCGTACATCCGACCCCTTGGCAGTGCACATTGTCCCACGCCTGCCACGCAAAAGCAGCGGAGCCCAAGGGACACCAGAGGGACGCCAGAGGGACGCCAGGGCGTACATCCGACCCCTTGGCAGTGCACATTGTCCCACGCCTGCCATGCAAGAAGCAGCGGAGCCCAATGAACACCAGAGGGACGCCAGAGGGACGCCAGGGCGTACATCCGACCCCTTGGCAGTGCACATTGTCCCACGCCTGCCACGCAAAAGCAGCGGAGCCCAAGGGACGCCAGAGGGACGCCAGAGGGACGCCAGGGCGTACATCCGACCCCTTGGCAGTGCACATTGTCCCACGCCTGCCAGGCAAAAGCAGCGGAGCCCAAGGGACACAAGAGGGACGCCAGAGGGACGCCAGGGCATACATCCGACCCCTTGGCAATGCACATTGACCCACGCCTGCCATGCAAAGCAAGCAAAGCAAAGCAAAGCGAAGCGAAGCGAAGCGAAGCCAAGCGAGGAAGCGAGGCGAGGCGAGGCGAATGTGAGTGAGTGAGTGTGATGTGAGTGAGTGAGTGTGAGTGAGTGATGAGTGAGTGAGTGAGTGAGTGAGTGAGTGAGTGAGTGAGTGAGTGAGTGAGTGAGTGAGTGAGTGAGTGAGTGAGTGGTGAGTGAGTGAGTGAGTGAGTGAGTGAGTGAGTGAGTGAGAGTGAGTGAGTGAGTGAGTGAGTGAGTGAGTGAGTGATGTAGATGAGTGAGTGTGAGTGTGAGTGAGTGAGTGAGTGAGTGAGTGATGTGATGAGTGATGAGTGATGTGAGTGAGTGATGTGAGTGATGTGAGTGTGAGTGAGTGATGATGTGAGTGAGTGATGTGATGTGAGTGAGATGATGTGTGAGTGAGTGATGTGATGTGGTGAGTGATGTGATGTGTGAGTGATGTGATGTGATGTGATGTGATGTGATGTGATGTGAGTGATGTGAGTGAGTGATGTGAGTGAGTGATGTGAGTGAGTGATGTGAGTGAGTGATGTGAGTGAGTGAAGGAGGAGGACGGGAAGGAGGAGGCACGGATACAGAACTAAAAACAAAAAACCCACACGTCAATGTGGGGAACAATCAGTCTGCAAATCAAAGAGGAGCAACCAAGGAAGTGTGACCCATACTGCTTGATTTTGCCAATGACAGAACTTTATTTAATAAGGAAAATACGATCTGAACAACAACCTAAGGATTTTAGGAAAAACATTTTATATTTTGAGCAGCACATTTAAAACACAAAAACACATGGGATTCCACCGCAAAATCTCCAGATATCGCCAGCAATGTTTGCAGGGTCTCAGCCTGATTGTAAGACCTACCATTTATCATGGACTATGGTTCACTCATCGTTCAGCGCCTACTTTAGCATTTTGCAGTGGACAGACTCTAAACTCCTGCAGGCCATACCTCCACTCTGCTTGATAACTTTAATCAGCAAGGTTCACCCATCATGTCTGGGGTAGGTCCTAAACTCATGTGGTGAACCTCCTATTTGTTTGCAGGCTGACTTCCATGTTGATTGATGTTTGATCCCTCACCAAAAAAAAAGCAAAACATGCTGAAAGAGGCTCAATAATCACCGAACAGCCCTAAACAACCACCATAAACCACAAAAACTCCAAGGTCATGTACCCAACGCACATGCCCAGGGATCTCCGCTGCTGTCCTGCGCTGCAATCACCGACAAGGCCTCAGAGTGAAAAATCACCAAAGCCCACAGGGCCCACAGGTAGTCGGGGGTGCAGTTGGGGTGACTTTCCTGAGGTAAAAAAGGAGATCCCCAAAAATACCCTCTGGTAATTTAACATAGCTATGGAAAATCACCATGTTTAATGGGAAAATCCACTATATATGGTCATTTTCAATAGCTATGTTAAATTACCAGAGGGTATAGAAATTGGTCAAATCCCATTGAAATACTGATAAATTACTTAGACATACGTAGACCATTTGTAGATTTTGGGGACCACCCACCAGCAGTTTACCAAAACAAAATACACCAGGATCAGCCCCTCAGCTGGGATGCACACATTGGCGTCCTGCAGTATCAACATTTGGCGGTTTCCATACATAGAGGGTGCCCATAGCTGGATGGAAACAAAAATGGAGAACTGGGCGTAGCCCCATTTTAGGAAACATCCATTTCAGTAAAAAATCATAAGGAGCTGCTTGAGTTCATCCAGGGTCAAATTTTCAAAGGGCTTTGGGGCTTTGGTGTTGGGATGCTACCCTGTAATATGACATAGTTGGTGGAGTGTCTTCCAGCCCCAACATACTTGTCAACTGGGGTCCTCCTCCTGAACCTGCAGTTTGTATGTGCGTAACATCGTGGTCCTCCATGTTTTGATGGCTTACTTAACTTACTTGTCTAGATGACTAAGAATCTTGGATGACCAAAAACATTCTATGACCAGTCCGTTGCGAAACAAAGTGGTCCCCCCTTAAGTTAGCTAAATTGCGACTCAAACTATTGTAGCACTTATACTGGCGCTTCTGGACCTTTGTGTTTGATATATATATATATATATTTATAAATATATAAGTAAATATATATGTATATATATATATAGTTATGAAGTAATAAATCCAACTATAAAATACTATAATGTGATATCTAACCCATAACGTGGCCCTATAACTTCAACCATCTTCAACCTGTGGTATGTTTACTGTTCCGAGACTTGGCCAGTGGCATCAAAAAGACAGCCGCTGGCCATTCGGTCCTTCAAGCGAGCCTGGCTCACAGACCTGACACGGATGAACGAAGCAACTCACGGTTCTGATTTGGTTGAAACATAAGAGGCTTTAAATAAGGAAAATGATGGAAAATGGGAATCTAATAGGAATCATATAAGGTATAAGCCCTTTTATGTTACGAATCCCAACATGTCGGTAACCATCTATCAGAAATATCAGGGCGAGGCCCCCGTTTACGATAGATAAGTTGACGCATATAATTTAAGGTTACCTGTTTGGCTGATTGGGGGAAAAAAAACTATTATATGAAACTATCTAAATCATCCATTTATATGATATATTAAAAAGGTACACGGCATGAAGCTAATATTCAACTTTGGTTGGAATTTCAATGATCCAAGCATGCACTCCCCCATGCATACACAAGTATATATAAATAATTTACATATATATAATATATATATATATATATATTATAGATAGAAAGAAAGATAGATAGATAGATAGATCGATCGATCTATAGATTATAGTTTAGATTTAGATTAGATTAGATAGATCGATAGATAGCAGATAGAGATAGAGATAGATGGATGGGTGGATGGATGGATGGACAGATGGGTAGATAAACTGTGGTGTTCAAAGTTGCAGTCGGCCTAATCCTAATCCCTAATCCGTCCAACCCGCGTTTGCCACGGTAATCCGTTCAATCCGCATTCACGTGAAATTTGTGGAATGTTACGCGCCAGGTTATGAAGCTCAAATTCTTTCGCGCTTTCGGCTTGGTTCACATGCGGGAACAAGAAACTTACCAAAAAAACTCTCCCCAAACCTGCCGCCACGAGCCGCAGAATAACCCCAAAAAAAGCACTCGGAAGCCAAAGTAGCTGTTTCGGGGGCCATTTCATTCTCCCCAACCTCCCGGCACGAGCCGCAGAATAACCCAAAAAAAACACCTGGAAGCCAAAGTAGCCGCTTCAGGGGTTATTTCATTTTCCCCAAACCTCCCGGCAGGAGCCGCAGAATACACCCAAAACAGGCACTTGGGAGCCAAAGTGGGGGCGATTTCATTCTCCCCAAACCTCCCGGCACGAGACTTGGGAGCCAAAGTAGCTGTTGGGGGTGTTATTTCCAAAAAACGCACGAACGCTTTTGCTGGAGCTCTTGTGGAAAAAGTGCAATGGTTTGGCCCCCGGGGGATTAGGATTGCCTTTAAATTTGAACAGGCCAGATAAATATATGCACCTGGCCTTGCATATTCACGCAAGAACAGTATGATTTATACTTCACTCTCCTCGAGCTCACTTGCCATTCCGGCAGCCTCAAAGTTGCCGGAGAGGTAGACATGGAAGCACCTGACCACAACTCAGCGGCCTGAAGACCTCAAACCTGGAGTTCTCATGGGAACCCTGACAGCTGGATGATAGGGAAGATCTTCGGGGCACGGCAACGCGCAAGACCTGGATAATCTTCGTGACATTTCAATCCTGAAATATGTGGTGTCCTGAAAGAAAAAGACAACTTTTTTTTGGCCGCAAATCTTGACATTTTTCTCCACAAATGTCTGACATTACAAAACCGATATCCCAGTGCAACCGCAGAAATCTGCTAAGTTTTCCTCATACATCATCCCGCAGTATTATTTGTTGGGTCCGTCCCAAAGTTTTCCGTTCAACCAGCATCATCATTGTTGGCATAATCCCTCATTTTGATGGGTTAATCCGGATTAACCTGGATAATAACCTATATAATTCAATTTACAACCTCACTCCAATACATTTAAAAAAAAAATATGGGCCCTTATAATGAATGGACCCTATACTAAACAAGGTGGTATTGAATGCTAGGCGGAATCGCAAACCAGCACACTGTCTGCAGCAAACAACCTGAGAAGCGAAGCAATCTTCAGAAACTCTCATCAGGAAATCAGGAACTGCCATAAGGCTGCCATGATTGATTCGCAATGTATTGTCAAATCATGTTTGGGGTGCAGGTAGGATCCCCATGATGAAGTTTCTTCAGAACACCATCCAACCATGGGTAGCCTACACATTTCAACCAACTTACAATTTACAAAGTGGGGCCCCCAGTTTTAAGTTGTTTTATAACCCCCATTAACTATATATAGTTATCAAAAACCATACAGTATATAGTATAGTTATTGGAGTCGCCAACTTAGCTATCTCACATTAAATGCGGGCCCCACTTCGTATCATTCAGCAACTATTTTGAATTATAAATCCCTGGTTGGTGGTTTCAACCCCTCTGAAAAATCTGAAAGTCAGTTGGGGTTACTATTCCCAATATATGGAAAAATAAAACATGTTCCAAATCACCAACCAGAATCCATATAAATCCCCGTTTGATGTTGACAATAACCATGTGGCTTTACCCCCCTCAGGGCGCTGATGGAATTGCAGCCACTTCTGCGAGGAGATCTGGGCCTTGGAGTGGCGATGGGGAGATCTGGAGCTAAGTCTACAACTGGTATAGCTGGGGTAAACTATCATAGCTATGGACTGGAAGGTTTCCATTTTTTGGCAGGTAAATCCACTATAGATTGCACTTGTCCATAAGATCACGAGGGTTTATATTGATATAATGAGATTTTTGCCGACAAACAGGGTGATTCAATGCGACTGTTTGGAGGATCATCTGAATTAGTAAGTGGTTGACGACCCTGGTTAAATCATTTTGTCTTTGGTTATCCCATGGGGTAACCTACACACAAACCAGTTGGGACTCCCAGGCTTATCCTCCAAGTCGTGGGATGTCACAGTTAGGAATTCGTGGCTTAACCCTGGTGATCCGAAATCCTCTAACTGGATTTTCCATGATTTTCTCATTGATAACTGGGGTTTAAAAAAACAAAAACTACCCTCTGGTAAACTAACATAGCAATGGAAAATCACCATTGTCAATGGGAAAATCCACTATAAATTGTCATTTTCAATAGCTATGTTAAATTACCAGAGGGTATATCCTTCTGATCATAGCCTTCGGAGGTTGCGCCGTTGGAGGCCCAAAAACCTGCAAAAAGAAAGGGGATGGTGTTGATATATAAGGCTTTAAAGAACCTCCTGGAACCTCTGCCCTATGTAACCTTACTACTTTTGAGTTGGTTTACAAACCTATCTCTCAAAATGACCGAACTATTGCCATCGTTCTCTTGCAAAACTCAGGACAATCCAACTGCAAATATGATTGAATGGATTGGTTTAAGGGAACATTTACAGGATGGGAAAATCTATGGTTTCCTGTAGATTTCCCTTAAACCAATCCATTGAATTATAGATTCCAGTTGGCCCACTGCTGTTAATCAAAAAAAACTCCTTGTTTGGGGGCTAACATTGTATGTTACATGACGACGCCCGTTCGACCGCAATCGTGACGTGCAAAACGACTACCGTGATGTGAACTTTGTCAAAAGATCTCATGAGCTTTTTGAAATAAAAAAATATTTTCGAAATTAAAGATCCTATTTCTTTCAAGTGTTCAACACAAATGAGCACCTTGAAGTATGGTGTCAAACTGTGATTTTATGTTTTTCCCCAAAGGGTCTCTGAGGGGCAAAACCTCGGTGAACGCGTCATTCTGGTTGAGAGTGTGGTGTCCTCAGATCTGCAGGGCTTTCCTTTCAGGCCAGCAGAGAATGAAGGCACTGGGTCCAGTGCAGCTTTTCCGGCTGGACCACCCTTTGTCTTCTCCTCCTTCTCTGCAAGGAATTTCTGTTCGAGATCTCCAACCACCTCGTCTTTCTCTTTTGCTTCTTCCTCAGATTCTTCTCCTGAGGGGCTGAAGTTCTCTTTCAACAAACCATCCCCAAGATCACCATCATTGGATGGTAATATATCATCAATTATACTATATATCATCCCCTAAATGGTAGGTCTATTATTGGGTTCACCACCTTAATCATGACTTTCCGCATTAAACAGAGTATCACTTTTTGTTGGTGCATACCCCATGTTCAAGCGAATCTTCATGGAATGGCATGTGATACGCCGCCTGGGCGGCCAGGTTCAGAAATGTGTGACAACCGCGAGTTCGAGAAACTCTCTACAGCTATGGCCGTTTATGAGTTATAACTGGTTATAAATGGGGTTATACACTCCATAAATGTGTTTTGTTTAGTACTTATAACTAGTAAAGGGCCATAACTGTACTCCGTGCAAATCTGAGACACCCTGCCCCAAAACCAAAAACTGATTGTTTGGGTGTTTTTGCTCGTTAATCAATCTTCCCCCGCCAACCAACAACACCCCAGCATGAACCAGGCCCAGCCACGAGAGGGACAGCGGGGTCCACATCGGGGGTGTCCAAATCTCATACTCCTGGTGTAACGTGATCATGGTTCAATCAGGAACTTGTGGGAACACTGTTAAGTTAAATGGATAATAGTGGCCCAATAATGGATGATAATGCTTTACAGGAATGAATTACCTGGTTTGTGCTCTCAAATTTTGCTGATTCGTCCTCGATTGTACATGTTCCCTTCAGTCAAATGTGGAACCAAAGTGTTCGGGAAAGTGGAACCTCAAAAATCTCAAAATGAAATACCTCGAAAAAACAATTGCCGTGTTTGTCATCAGGGAAACATGCTATATTTGGGGGAAAGATTTGGAAACTGCATAGTCTTTCACACCTTGGAGGCGCCTCACATCATTTGGGATGCAGGCCCCCGAACATGTGATCAGATATGTGTCTTGGTTTATAGCCCGTTCCAACTATACTGGTTGGTGGTCGACCTACCCCTCTGAAACATATTAGTCAGTTGGGATGATTATTCCCAATATATGAAAAGTCATAAAAGCCATGTTCCAAACCACCAACCAGTATAGATGTGACTTACCATAATCTCTCTTTAACCAGTGAATACTCACCCCACGGCCGCCTCCACAGCGCTCTCATGCAGCAAATCCAAGTTGGGAACCTGGGGCAAGTTGTGCCCCAAGTTTCATCAACAGAAATCAGCTTGAAATGTGATGACATAACCCAGATTAATGGTATAATGTGATGAAACCAAGATGTGGTATAAGATTATCCTTTATGTGGTTTAATGTGATGAACCCTGATTGAACCATCCCCAAAATCAACATGGGTGGTATAACATATCCACCCAAGTCGGTAGAAATAAGATGACATACGATGAAATAAGTAGTTTAAGTGTCGGGTTTGTGGTACGAAAATAGCATATATCTGCAGTTGACTGGCATTATAAACCAATTAACCAAGGGATCTGGGCCCTCTCATCAAGGAACCGCATTGAAAACCGCCACAGGGCAAACTTCTCGCACCTGTACTTCAAACATGAAAAGGATTGAACAGGCGCCAATGCCAATAATGATGGTCAGGGAAGGGCATATGCTCAATAACATGCAGGCTGTCCATTGCAAATAGGTGTTACCATCTGGTTATTTAACATAGCCATGGAAAATAATCATTTTTAATAGGTAAACCATCTATAAATGGGCCATTTTCCATGGCTATGTTAAATAACCAGAGGGTACCAAAATTACTTTACTTCGTGTGATCCCCACCATGACATTTATACATGTTCTTACTGGCACATCTTCTGGCATTCTATCTGACATATCTTCTGACATTCTATTTGGCATTCTATCTGGCATATCTTCTGGCATTTTATCTGGCAAATCTTCTGGCATTCTATCTGGCATATCTTCTGGCATTCTATCTGACATATCTTCTGGCATTCTATCTGGCATATCTTCTGGCATATATTCTGACATATCTTCTGGCATTCTATCTGACATATCTTCTGGCATATATTCAGACATATCTTCTGGCATATCTTCTGGCATTCTATCTGGCATTCTATCTGGCATATCTTCTGGCATATCTTCTGGAATATCTTCTGGCATATCTATCTGGCATATCTTCTGGCATATTTTCTGGCATTCTACCTGGCAAATCTTCTGGCACTCTATCTGACATTTTATCTTCCTACATGAGGTCCGGCAGGGAACACTTGGCGTGGATACTCGCGGTTGAGGTCCGGGAGGGAACACTGGGCGTGGATGGTCGTAGTTGAGGTCCGGCAGGGAACACTGGGCGGGGATGGTCGTGGTTGAGGTCCGGCAGGGAACACTGGGCGTGGATACTCGCGGTTGAGGTCCGGCAGGGAACACTGGGCGTGGATGGTCGTGGTTGAAGTCCGGCAGGGAGCAGGAGGAGAGGAGACGAGGAGAGGAGACGAGGAGAGGAGAGGAGAAGAGAGGAGAGGAGGAGGAGGACGAGGAGGAGGAGGAGGACGAGGAGGAAGCAACTGACATAAAATCTAACAACCCTCACCTGGCAGGTGGGGAAAAAACTCTTAAGGACTTCTTGCATCTCAGTGGCAGGAGAATCACACTTAAAATCACTGGACATGGAAAATCCGATATGTCAAGACCAAGGAAAACACAAATCACCAATCTGAAACTTCGGCCATGTGGGGGTATGCTATTATCTAACCATCATTCTAGTGACATTACGATGTGAGGTCATCATCTATTCAAATACATGGATTATATCCCGACTCCCCATCGATATACAGTATACCAAACATATCCATTAAACAACAATTTATAACTAATGCCAACCCTGGATTAATAAACCCCTAAGCTGTTTAATGGGGAGGGTACCATAAAAAAGTATCAGATTGTGACTATTGGAGGAGTACCCCCCACCCAAATAGACCATGGTTTATTAATCCGGGGTTTATAACTAACATGCATCCTCGTTCTATCCCCAACCAAATCAGTTTCGAAATAAATTAGCTTCTGGATCTTCTGGTTATTTTCAACATTGGTTTCAACATTGGCCCATAGAAATAGATGATCAAAATGAGGAGATTTACCGAACTCAAAAATTCTGATATTCGATAGCAAACCGTTAAATTACCACAGTTGTGGCCCTAAACAATCCTAAACAGTTATAATGAAATGGAATTATTATATAAGCTTAGTTCTAGGAATTAGAAGTTATTTCATCACATTCATAACTGATATAACTGTTAGTTGGGCCACAACTGCAGCAGGTCCCGCAAATTCAGCCTCCTGCTCCGTGACTTCCTTCACGCTCATTGGCGTTGACGGCAACCCGGCGACGGAATGCAGTAGTTTGGTCGGGACATGTCACTGGCTACCATGATATTTTGGAGTAAAAATAAGGGGGCTCTTCATTTTTTGATCTTTTTCCTCTAGGATTCATCGGCATCTTTCAGGCTACCTCCGAGCAAAGTGACTAGAACACACTAGAAATCAAACGCCCGAAATGGTTTTGTATGATTGGGACGATCCGCACTCTATTTGCGGGATGCCAATCCAAGTAGGTAGGTCTCTCTCAGACTGAGTTAAATAACATATTTCAAAAAACCTGCTATATGATGTTTTAAGGACTTTCCCGTAGAGTTTCCTAAATCAAGTCCCGCATCCAAGTAGGGAACCAAATTCTGTACTGGGGGTTGTCATGGTTGTCTCCTTACAGTCTGGGTTGCCATGCTTTTGCCAACTGCACAATCTGGAAAGCTTCCTCCTTGGCGCTGAACGTTTCACTCTTGTTTTTTGTATCCGCCAAACTGTGCTAACATTTTGAGCGCCTACACGGTATCTGAGCCCCACCATCAGTTACATGTCTGTTCTTGAGCCTTCCATGGCATTTCAGTCATGACAACCTGCGCACTGTGCGCTATATCTTCATTGTGGGTCGTAGGGGAAGCTGCCATCAGAAGCGTCATCATAACCATCATCATCATCATCATCATCATCATCATCATCATCATCATCATCATCGTCATCGTCATCGTCATCGTCATCGTCATCGTCATCGTCATCATCGTCATCATCGTCATCATCATGATCATCATGTTCATCATGTTCACAGTGATAAGAATCATAATATGATGATTATTAATTACTGTATTCATAATTATTCATAATCAAACATAATCAAAAAATATTCAGCACCATCACCTCACCAGCATCATCACCACCGTCATAGTTGTCATGATAATTACCCACACTATCCCAAGCAGTCATCAATCGAAACAGCACTGCTGAAAGGAATGCATCTAGACATCATGTATGATCAATTTCCAAGCTGCTTAAAACCCTATGGTTTGTTAATGTCCTGCTAAAAGCTTAGCTCTTACTTGAATGATTGGTCAGTCCATCTACCCTCGGGTCATTTAAGATAACAATGGAAATGATCCATTTATATACCTATTTTACATTTAGAACACAACATATATATATATATACTGTATATATATTATATATATACTGTATATATATATAATTAAATTATCTACCAAACAAAATGTGGTGATATTCCGTAGCTGTTTTAAATCACCAGAGGGTAACCCCCGGTGCCCTCTAAGGACGTCTCAGGACATCAACCTCTGCGATCGAATCAAAGTCTATGCCGTGGCTGTGAGTGTGCCTATCTGTCTGAAAAATAAATGTGATTACCATCTGGGGATTTAATATAGCCAATCTAGCTATCGAAAAACGCTGTTCATAGTTGATTTACCTATTAAACATGATGATTTTCGATAGCTATGTTAGTTTACCGGAGGGTAGATGCAGTTGGTTGAACGCAAACAAACTACAAATCCCACACAGCGCGCCACGCGCCACGGTTGTTTTGCAACCGCTGCTGATTTCCATCCGCAAGCGTCGCTTGCGCACTTTGCATGTGGAGAAATGACGGTCCACAGTCTGGGCCTTGGCAAAACATCATGGCCATGGCAGCTACACTGACCATAGGTCCCACATTTGCGCCACATGGGCCACACAAAACTAGCAATGTTGAGTACCGAAGAACACGTCGTCACATGTTTTTGGGCGGGAATGTATGCCTGGAAATCCACCTGCCCCATCAAGCTCCACAATTTGACCGCACACCTGACTCGACCACTCACTTCATCCACAATTGTCCGGTCAAAGATGTCCCGCCTGTATTGACCACGCGATTGAGCAAAAAAAGACACGGCCATAGGTTTGTTTTCCACCCACAGAGTTGTTTTTTTTGGATCCTTCGATCTTTGCACATCAGCCTCCTAAAAGCGCATACTCTCACAGTTCTTTGATGTGTGAGCATGTCGGTCTCGGATGTGCGAATTTGTTTAACATAGCTAAACTTAACTGGTTTTCAGAGAAAAAAAACATGTAAACACAAAGTTGAAGGAGTCTTTGGAACATGGCCTTTCTCTATTCATGCTGGAAAGGTTTCCAGCTGCTGTTGCTCCTCCATAGAGGCCAGAAAGCTGATGCAAGATATTCATGGCGAGGGCCTATAGGGGTTTTTGTCACATGCATGGAATATACGCATACATATACATATATGCATATATATATATACAAATATATAGACACGTGGACATAAACACACACACAAACACACACACATATATATATATATATATTAACATATAGAAACCTGTGCATATACATATAGAACCCCCACTGGTATGCATTGTCAAGCTGTTATACTTGAAAAAATGACAGCCATTCAAAGCCATCTAATTATTGAGTAATCATTCCGGGCGCGCTATAACCATGCACAGAACCATGTGAGAACCTAGCAAATGAGCATCATCAGCTTGAATAGATGACCCTACCTACAAAGAGGTGCAATTAAGGTGGCTAAACCTAGCTCCCCTTGCTGCATGTGGAACTGTTTACATCATTTACCACAAACATGACCCATTTGAGAAGTTATACAGTAAGCATACCATACGTGAACATATGGGCCGTATTACTTGTACAATTTTTACATGTGTGATTAGTCATACCCTCTGGTAAACTAACATAACTATGGAAAATCTTTATATAATGGGAAAACTCACTATAAATGGCCATTTTCCTGTTCGCAAACAGTTAGTTTGCCAAAGGGTAGCAAAAAAAACATCTTTGTAACATTTTGTAACTATCACCTCTCAAGTAGAAATGCAAACGGCTACTGCCTTTAACATTTCTCCTTGCGGGCCGTTGGCTCCCGCGCTTCCGGTCAACACACTTCACATAGCAGTGGCTCTCGTGCTAGGGCGCAGTGGGGGTGGCCTGGCCATTTGCTACTTGGAAAATCAATACCAATCAACCCGATCGATTCATACAAGGTGGTGGTCCGTAGTTATCTAAGTGGCTTTATAAGTAGACTAACTATGATTAAACAAGGTTCATGGATGTTCATGGTAAATATCATATCTACACTTAGCTGGGTTTATAGACCAACTTGTAACTGGCAGACTGCCTTGTAGGTAACCTTTGATATCCTCCAGTTCTTTCTGGCTGTTGAGTTAAATCCTCTTTTATGTCAAAGCTACGAGATGCAATAAATCAATAACTTATACCGTCCGGTAACCAAACATGGCAATGAATGGAACATCCACCATTTATACTTGATTTTCCCATGAATGGCTTCATTTCAAAATACTTGCCCATAATTTCACACATGTTCCTATGACCTTCCCATTAAAACTCGTCCATTTTGTATGGGGGGTGTCCAATTACCTGGGATGTCACATCCCGGAATTGGCAACCCCTGACTTCTGTACTTGATGGTACCCTCTGGTACAAGTCATTAACTATCATAACTAATTCTGGGGAAAAACACACATTTTGGTGAGATAAACCATCCACACATGGGCCATCTGCATCATAGCTATGTGATAAATTACCAAATGATAACTGCATTTCTTGAGTCAAAACTACAGAATCCTCCTGGACGCCGTTAAAATTCCAACACTTGGCGGAATCATGTCATATTTCACCAGCCTTACATGATTTTCCATATGGGTATGGGTCAATACCTATAGATACTTTTTTAGTGGGATGAACATCCATTTACCAGCTATTTTGATGTTCACCAGAGGTACAAGGTTTTGACACACTGCCATATCTGACAAATCCAATCATAAAAACCTGGAATCTTTGGTGATTTAAGACAGGGTCATCCGTATCGTAGCGTCATCAACACGCTTGGGCCATGCCCGCCCTACTGCAACCAGCTAAAAGCCTGACGGCCGTTTTTGCCCTGGTTCTGGTGAGGACAACGATCACGATCCTCCGAAATGGACAGAAGTGAGCCACCACCGATTTGTGATTAGCCAATGCCGGAAGATGTCAAAGGTATGTCCTGATCATTTGCTTCGTGCAAAAAAGGAATCAGAACCAGTGCAAACTGAAAAGCAGCTTAGGACGCAAAAGCAGGGTCAATACCTGATTCAATGCAAAAGCCAATCCTCGTGCTCACGCGTTGCACATGTCTCACATCAAGCCATGGTTTCTCTTGGCAACTGGGGATCTTTTTTGTTGCCCAAAAAGTGAAGACCCCATCTTCGGCTCCTTAGTAGCCTTAGCTCCTTCAAAAAGCTACGGCCAGGGGCATACATCTTGGAGAATCTTGGCCGATGATCTTCTTCACTTGATTTTTGGGGAAGAAATTGTCCGACTCTTGGTAAAATTCCATTTGTCAACCAGTGGGAGAAGTGCCAAAGGATAGCTTGTTCTGAAACTCTGAGAAAAATGAGGTCTTATTATGGTGACTTAATGGGGTTTTATGGTGACTTAATGGGATTTTATGGTGAGAAAAACAGTTTCCTTCACATTCCCAATTATAGTTTATATCCTCATGGCTCAGCAAAGTGGGGTGCAATCAAGAAACAATGGAGTGCCCCCACCACCATTGTCCTTTATAGATATGGACAACCAAACATGTGCAATCAATGTCCTTGGGAAACAGCGTGCTTTCCATAAATCCGTTCATGTACGGTATCAACCACAAAATCCAGTTGACAATTGGATAGCTGGTGGCTTACATCACTTAAAACACACGCATTCCATTGCTAAAACATGCTAAAACTACTGCCACTGAAAAGCTACGGTGGAGCACGGGGCGTTGGATGATAGCTAAAAAAACCGAGACGACTTTCGGTCAGCGCGCTGCAGCCAGCATTTCTGAAATGGATATTTGTGCAAACTGATCCCAAAATGCACTATCCACATGTCCAAAAAAAAACAAAAAAATGATACATGATTAGGAGTCAAAAACCATATTCAACTGATCTCAACTCCAAGGTGGG